ATTCCTCCAGCTTGCACAGTGCCCCCACCTGCAGGGAGGCCAGAGAGGCCTTCCTACATCAACTACAGAAGAGGGAAATGGAACAGCATCTAAGTCTTCCTCTTTTGTTCCTGCTTGTCTTTCATAAATCACATATGCATAGTCAGAGTCGGACAAAAACATCATTTAAAAAAAATTTATACAAACAATTTTTAAAAATTAAGATAACCCCTAAATCCCAACACCCAGAGCAACTACTTAACTTACAGACCAGGTTTGGTGAGGCCATTTTTCTTGAAATTTTAAAATCCCATTGCCTTTAGGCAGACACATGCTTTAGTTCACTGTTCCCATGTTCTCTGGAGTCTTATCATGGATAGTGTCCCACACTTCAGTTACTTGTTGGGTCCAAAGACATTCCAGATGGCAGTCTTGAATGGCCATCCAGACACTTCTCCATGCACAGTAGGTTGAATATTATGATTTGCAAAAATGGCCCCATGCTGTGAAGGTTGCTCCCAGATATTTTTGGATTTCCCTGCTCTCTTACTGTTGGACCTTCAAGGTTTTGTCAGGGCTTTGCTATGAACCATTCAGCCTTGCTCTTTAAAGCATCCCAAGCATTGCCTTTGCCTCCCTCATGATCCCTTAGAGTGGTCTCAGCTGGTGTCCTTTACAGCAAGCTTCAAGGGTAGTACCCAGACTGTCTTGCAAACTAAACCAGTGGTAGGAGTCACCTGGATGCTTATTAACAAGACGCATCCTCAGGCCTCTGCTCCGGATCTTTGGTTAGTAGCTCTGGAAAGGGGCCTGGTGGGAGTCTTTTTAAGGAGTCTCCCAAATGATCAGGCAAATTTGGAGATGTTGATACAGATGGAGCCCAGGATGACAGCCGGGATTAGGAGACTGATTCCAAGACCCTGAGAGTCTGGTGGTTGTGCTGATCTTGGGAAAATCAGTCGTCTTTTTTCACTTGGGTTTCCTCATCTATAAAAAGGTGATGGTAACATCTGGGTCGCAGGTTGTTATGAACGTCAAATGAGACAATGCATGTATAACTCCCAGCAGAATGTCTGGGANGAGCCCAGGATGACAGCCGGGATTAGGAGACTGATTCCAAGACCCTGGGAGTCTGGTGGTTGTGCTGATCTTGGGAAAATCAGTCGTCTTTTTTCACTTGGGTTTCCTCATCTATAAAAAGGTGATGGTAACATCTGGGTCACAGGTTGTTATGAACGTCAAATGAGACAATGCATGTATAACTCCCAGCAGAATGTCTGGGAGAACAGTTGGGCTGTCTTCAGTGTCCTTGTGTACCTCACAGGACGGCAAAATCGCAGGAAATCCTTGAGTTAGGTGCACACTCTACCTCCCTTTATCCCTCCCTCCCTTTCTCCCTCTCTTTCTGCCCCCCCTTACCTCCCCCTCACTTGCCTCCCCTCCTTGTTTCCCTCCCTCCCTCTCTCTCCGTCCACCTCTAAGCTCCTCTAGCTCCTCTAACACCTCTAAACTCCAGGGCCTCAGCTCACTTTCTTCTTCTGTGAATGTTGCAGCCACTCATGCTAAGCTCAGGGCTCCCTTTCCATCAGTTGCCTGCAGAACAGCAGAAAACCCACATGCCCTCCCTGTTTCATTGTTCCGCACACAAACAATCCCATTGGCACATAAGCAGTTTCCTCGTAGCTACTCCAGGAGCCCAGACTGGCTATGAGAATGCCACACATTGGGAAGAGAACTTTCCAGAGGCCAAATTCCTGATTCCTCTTCTGAGAGAGTTCTCCTAGAAGACCCTGTGGTCCCCAACTCCCTAAAAGCAGGACCCCTGTAACAGGACGCCTCCAGAAAGAGATCCTTGTGGGCTGGGAAACCCTCCGACACCACTACGTAATGATTCTTCCCTCTCATAGGAAGCAGATGGAATGAACAGATTGTTAATATTTTCTGTTGTTCATAAACAGGTTACACAAAGCTGCACATACTTTTCCTAGAAGATGAGCTACATATTGCCATAAGAAACAAGATCACATAATATCTGTAAATTTTCTCCTAAAAGACTCTTTGTTAAGAGGTGTGCTTGTTTACTTTCTCTGTTTCTGTTAGAGAATAATGGGGAAACTTTCCAGAGTGAAATAAGAGTCATGAGTGGATGTCCCCACTGGAAGGTAATAAAACACCAGCACACCCTCTCCCTGGGACAGCAGCCTGCCACGTGTGCGGAGACTCAGCCTCGAGGCCTGGGCTTTCCACTCTCTCATCTGCTCCTGAGCACCAAGAGGGCAACACAGCTCGATGTCCTGTATAGACAACAGAAGCATCTCGCCTCCCAGGCAAGGGCAGGAAGCAGTGGGGAAATAACTGAATAGGCCTAAGCATTGTAGTTAATAATAATAATAAAAAAAGGACAATGTTAGGTTCGGCGAGAGAGAGAAAAGAGAGACCCGAGCCAGGAGCCA